GTGGACTACCCGCGCGCGAGGAAGACGCTCTGGAGAGCGGCTGCTTTATGCAGTGGCGGTGCGCGAATTACAACGGGATGCGTTGATAGAAGTAGCGTCGGACATCGCCGTTGTGGATTACCGACGGCAGCGACATCAGAATACGAAGGTGGTATCAGATTGCTGGCTCCACTGCAACACTTAGTGGTCGTTCTCTGTCCATGCACCTGCCACATAGAGCAAGTCCGCCCAACACGATAATTAGTCAATAGCGGTCGGCGAACACGGCTACGTACGTACCCAATGCTGTATAGGAAATAGATCGGTGAAACAATCAGCAAATGATGGACAGGGTTGCTGGAGAGGACTGGGCTGCCGCTGACTGGTGAGCAGAAGCTGCTGATGGACTTGCTGTGGTGCAGCTGGCGGCCCTGGTCGAACAGCTGCCGATGGCCCAGGTCCAGGTGTTGCTATAGGAGTACCCCTGGCCCGGGGTGCCCCCAGGCTTCTCGGGGTGGTCCAGACGGCCTCCAGGGCACCCCTCACGCTCGCCATCGCTCGGACGTCCATTCCCTGTGCTTTTTTCGGTTTCGTGCGTGGTTTTTTCGCCAAATGATCAAGGATGCTCCACGATGGTCCTCGCCGAAGGAAAAATGCACACGTCCGAGCGATGCCAAGCACGAGGCCCAGAGGGCCCCAGGGGCTCCAGAGTGGAGCGGAAAGCTGGGGGTACCCTGGGCCAGGGGGCCCTTCTGGCAGCACCCGACGGGCGGTCCGCGCGAGGCGTGGCCTCACACCCTGCGGCCAGCGCTGTCGGCGCAGAGTCGGGGATGGACAGACCTCCCTTTAGTAGAACGTGGTTTAGTGAAAACGACCTGGCGCAGGCCTGGAAAATAACGGCCACGGCGCCCTCTCGAGAACCGGAAACGGACAATTCACTAATCGACGTGTCACTGTTGGGGGTTCTGTCCACCCCCGACAGAGTCCGAGCTGCCCCGGGCGGCCAAGCAAAAGAGCACGGTGGTGCCGTGCAGCGTCGGGGGGCGAGGGCCGCGAGGCGCAGCGGGCCCTCCCGCCCTCCACCGGACGAGCGCCGGGTCTCGTGCGCGACGTGCCGGGCGGCGGGCGTCTCAGGGCGACACTCTCAAGAGGCCAGGGGGACACAAATCAGTACGCACAAATTTCAGGATTCCCCATATTTTCTATATTTTCCGGAGTTTCGTCTTCCCCCCCCACTTCCCATATCGTCCCAGATTTTCCTGGGAGTCGACGATTACTTGTGTCTGTGCGTTTTCCCCTCCTGACACTCTCCCTGCCCAATCTCCACTAAGGACCCGTGGCAAGGACGCAAAGCCCTTTTGATGCCGAACTCGGGATTTTTTGTTGGGCCGCGGGCGACCCGTGGAAACGGCACAGCACGGGCCGCAGAGGCAAGAGCGCAAGAATACGCTAGATGAAGGCGCTCGTCCTTACTAGGCGCGTTGACTGTACTGTCACCCCCTACCGTTATGCTTGGGTGTGGCTACCGCGTGCTAGGGTAGTTCTGGTGATGGCTCAAGCTGCCCCCTCCCGTTATCCTGGGGGGCAGGTACGGTGTGCTGGGGTAATGCTGGTGCTGGCCCAAGCTGCCTAGACGATGCACAAGGCTAGCTCCAGGAGCCCAGAGTAAGCACAACGGCTGCATCTCACCAGGGGGGGGCCGCACTTACTACAGTGGAGGCCAGTCCACAAGAAACCTTCCACAAGAAACCCAACCCTGAGACCCCAGGACGTGCATTGATCTTCGGCGTGGGAATGTCACGCACTCCACAGCAGAACCATCGAAAGCCCAGAAACACAGGGCACCCTGGAGGCAAGCAGGGCGTTATTTGGCATGGGCCTCCTCTGTATTTCTGCCAACTTGCGCCGGCCGCCGAGGGCGACGTGTCGACCCTTCGGCCCCTCGAAGGCGAGGCCCTGTCCAGAGCGTCTCGTGTGCTCCTGCTGCCGTTGCTTCTCGAGCGGGCAGATCGAGCAGCCCGCTTGAAGCCAGCGCAAGACTGGCGAGCGGCCAAAACTCGTCTGGCATCCTGCGCTCGCTCCTGGCGGTCTCTGAATCCATGTCCTTCCTCGTCGTTGTCGCCCAGATCATTTCCCCTCTTGTGCCCTCCTCTGGTTCTTTACCTCCTCCCGTTCCTCCCACTCCTGCTTGTGCTGCTGATGTCCCTCCTCATGCTCATCCATTTCCTTGCCTTATAAAGAAGTCTCCCCTGTCGCACCCGGAAGCGTGTCGGCAGGGCGGGCTGGGCGTTTCGCCTGAGACTTCCTCACCAAGCGCGGTCCTTAAGATGAGCATTTGCAAGAACTTCACGGATGGAGGGTGGGCCGTTTCCAAAATGTGGCTCCCGCCCCAGCGCCGCGCACACTCGTTTTAAACATTGGCATGAGTTTCACGGATGGAGGGCGGGCCGTTTCCATAACGTGGCTCTCTCATTAGCGCCGCGCGCATGCGTCTGACAAATGGCAAGAGCTTCACGGATGGAGGGCGGGTGTTTCTCAACAAGTGGCTCTCGCCTGAGCACCGCGCACATTCGTTTTGAGAAAGTTGCAGCAATTTCGCGGATGGAAGGCAAGTGGTTTTCGAACTGTGGCTCTCGCCGTGGCGCCGCGTACATTCGACTGAAACGTTTGCAAGACTTTCACAGATGGAGGGCGTGCAGTTTTTCAAACTGTGGCTCTTGTCTTAGCGCCGCGCACATTTTTCTTCACAAATGGCAAGAGCTTCACGGATGGAAGGCGGTTCAGTTTCAAGATGTGGCTCTTTCCGAAGCACCGTGCACTGTCGTTGTACGAGTTTATAACTGTTTCAGGAATTATCTTGGTTTACGTCCCAGAGACGGTGTTTTGGCACGATGTCGGACTGTTAGGACGCAACAGTTACGTTGGTCGCGGTGTTGAAGTTCCAGTAATAGTGCTCTGGCACGAGTCAGGATCGTCAAGACGCAACAATGATGGTGATTCGCGGCGTTGAAGTCCCAAGGATGGTGTTTTGGACCAGTTCAGGATATGTTAATGGTCATCTTCCAACAGCTTACTTCCCTTCATGAAAATCAATCCTTGTAGGGGCCTGTGGAGAGGGAGCTCGGAGGCAGGGTTTATTACAATATCGTTAATGGGGCGTCGGTTTACACTGGTCCTCCTCCTCCTCCTCTTTCATCCTCCTCATTCTCCTGCTTATGCTCCTGTTCATCCGCCACCTCCTACTCCTCCTCCTCCTCCTCCTCCTCTTCTTCTTCTTCCTCCTCCTCCTCCTCCAATGTACACAGCTCCCCGTTTCTAATTGCGCATAACGCGATGGTGCCCCTTGAGGGGCTCCAAGTCCGCTAGGGCACCCATTAGCGATAGAGAAACATCCAGCGCAATGGTAAGGGATGGGTGAGAGTTGTAGGATGTCAAATATGGCGCGAGCGCACCTAAGTTGCCTCCAACCTCTCTCCTCTCGCCGTCCTCCAACTCCTTCCTCCTCCTCCTCCTCCTCCTCCTCACCCATCCCCCCCTATCGACTTCCTCCTCCTCCTCGTTTCCAATCCCCTACTGCCCCCAGAATCCTTCTCCTTCTCCTCCTTGTCCCCCTCCTTCTCCTCCTCATCCTCGCCCTCCTCATTCTGCCGAGTCGTCCTCTCCCACCGGCTGGCCTTCCCATTGGCCTCCGTGGAGTCCATCTTGGAGTCCATCCTGGAGTCCATCTTGGAGTCCATGATCGGGGACGCGGGCTCGGAAATGGAGACGGGGCTCATCGGAGGCGGGCGGGGCCCCAGGACGGGTGAGGACCTCGGGGCAGCCGCGGGCAGTTGTCTAGGCCCCGACGGCACCACCACGAGGTGGAGGACGAGGATGTGAGGAGGAGGAGGAGGAGGAGGACGGCACCACCACGAGGAGGAGGAGGGCGAGGACAGTGAGGAGGAGAGGAGATGAGATGAAGTGAGGAGGCGTTGAATGGGACTGGGATGGGGCGCTCGTTCGGGCGATCGCCAGGGGCACGTAATGAAGGGCGGAGCGGATGAGACCGTGGCTCCGCGCAAATTGGCCAGCGGGCTGCGAGCTCACGCAAGGCGCCGGTGGCGGAGGAGGACGAGGAAGAGATGGAGGAGGAGGAGGAGGAGGAGGAGGAGGAGACGGAAGAGGAGGAGGAGGAGGAGGAGAAGGAGAAGGAGGAGCAGAAGGAAGGAGGGAGGAGGAAGGAGGAGGGAGGAGGAGGAGGAGGAGAAGGAGGAGGAGGAAGAAGAAGAAGAAAAAGAAGAGGAGGAGGAGGAGGAGGAGAGGAAGAGGAGGAGGAGGAGGAGGAGGAGGAGACGGAGACAGAAAAGGAGCACGACAAGCTGACAGTCAGAACTATACACGCGATACGTCCGAAGACGGCCCACTGGTGGGCAGCGCGGGGGGCCCTGAGGCCCTCATCACCTGGGGCCCAGCGCGGAGGAGGAGGAGGAGATGAAGCCACCTCCATGGTCTACCAGGCACCTTCTGGACCTCACCCCCGCTTTCCCAAACCATGGTGTCTTTTCAAAGATGTCGGAGAGAGTGGTAGTGTGGACTGTACTTCGGCATGTGCCATGACTCCTCGAACCAGCTTCTTCACTTTTGAGTCTGAAACTATGGAACTGCGAGGCGGAGAATGGCTGAAGGGCGAGCGATGAGTCTATTGGCATGGGATGGACGGTAGGTCTGGCGTACTGCGTGCGCAAGCGATGAAGGCGGGTGCGGCGCGGGCATTTGGGCAACGCCGCCGGTGACGGCGCAGGGTCGCCAGTGTGGCCGAGGATATGGGACGAGATGGGAAAGGGGAAGAGGTGCAGGCAGGGGGGAGGAAGAACTGCAGAAAACGATGAAGAAGGAGGACGGAGGGAGGAATTGGCGCAGAAGGGACACCGACAGACACAGCAGGAACAGCAGCATCAGTAAGAGACCTTCTAGGGGAGCACCCCTCACCTTCGACAATAAAATCCCACAACTCAGGTGTTTCGATAAGCTTCACAAGGCACGCACCGTAGTGGTCTGAACGCCAGCATTCCCGAATCAACTTAAAAAACGATTCACTCAAGATGTCCCCATGAGTCCGCCGTGGGACGACAAGAGGGCACGAGCGTGGGGGGGGGAGACTGAGGAGGAAGAATCTGGACCTGTCGTGGCGAATAGTGGGAGCAGTTGATGTCATGCGGAAAAGAAAACGCGCCTCAAGTTCAACCTGCTCCTGCTCTTTTTTTCTTCACCCTCCAGGTTCGAGGACCATCTCTTATGCTAAGCAGCAGCGCTCGGGGTCCTGCAACGGCCGTCAGCAGGCAGGCACTGAGACGGCACTGAGGCTGTGTACCGAGCTAGCGCTGCGCCACCTCGCGAGGAGGGCCCTCCTCGTAGGCGCACTCGTCTTCCAGGAACAGGGACTCCTTCATGTACATGATGCGCTGCTCGTGCGCCCGGCTAGAGTTCGGGTTCACGGGCACCGCCTCGACGGCGCCCAGGTCGATGCCCGCCGCGGAGAAGCAATTCATGACCTTCCTCTCGTCCTTGCCCTCGTAGAACACGTGGACGATGCTCGCCGACTCCGCGTCGGGTCCGCTGCTCGCGGAGAACTCCGTGAGCCTCCAGCGCGCCACCGAGAAGTGGACCTTGCCCTGCTTCGCCGCGACCCTCTCCAGGTCGCCGTCCTGGATGGTGACCTCCCGGCGAAGGAGCACTCGCTTCGGTATAGCACTCAGCATCTCCATGTACTCCACATCGTCGGGGTGATCGCCCCACTCTGCAACCTGCCCGACGCAGGGGCCCGGGTCCGCACGCCACATGCTTCCCTCCTCCCCCCCCCGGCGGGAGCGGGCGCGCTCGCGCAGAGGCCGGCCGCGGAGGCGCCGGAAGGAGCGGCCCGGGGGGTGCTCGAGCTGGGCGGGCTTGAGCCAAAATGGCTAGGGAGAGCCTGCTCTGGCTCTTGATCTGGGCATTCCAGAGGGTCGTTCATACAAAGAGGTGGACCCGCCAGTTCTGACTGCCAGCATCGAGTAGGCAGCTCCAGGCGGCGAGCGTAGGTAGTAAACAATGCGTTCCACTTGCGGGTGAAGTGATAGAAGAACTGAAGCACCGTCGCGCCCCTGGTGCCCGTCGCGCTGGGCTCAATTTAGCTTCGGCCGCAGATTGTGGATGGTCCTGTGATTGCCTTCGTTTACATGCCCGCGCCTTTGAGCCAGTGGATGTTTAGGGCAGGCTGGTCTTCGATACCTGCGCGATGAGTTCAAAGCCGTTATGTTTTTTCATTGCTTTCCTGGTGCGATGTCGAATCCGCCGGCCCCCTTGTGGGGCCACCAGGCTGTAGGCTCAGGGTTTGCTGTTCCCTGCGCCAGTTCCAGCTTCCAGTTTCCAGTGTTACAGTTCTGCTTCTTGTTGCTTACTGTTCCTTGTTGTGGACCGCGCAGAGGGGAGGAGCCGAAAAGCACCCTGGGTAGCACCTCCCGGGAGGGGTCTCAAAATTTTTGAGGGGGGTCGAAATTGACACCCCTCACGCAGATCGGCAGGGTCAGGGTCCAAAAACACGTGGGATTTGCCCCATTTCTGAAATTTGGCGCACCCCTCACGCAGATCGGCGGGGTCAGGGTCCAACAACATAAAAAATGTGCCACATTTCTGAAATTCGGCGACACCCCTCACGCAGATCGGCGGGGTCCGAGTCCAAAAACCAATGGGATTTGCTACATTTCTGAAATTCGGCAGCTCCCCTCACGCAGATCGCCAGGGTCAGGGTCGAAAAACACATGGGATTTGCCACATTTCGAAAATTCGGTGCCACCCCTCACGCAGATCGCCGGGGTCAGGGTCGAAAACCCAATGGGATTTGCCACATTTCTGAAATTCGGTGGCACCTCTCACGCAGATCGCCGGCGTCAGGGTCGAAAAACACATGGGATTTGCCACATTTCTGAAATTTGGCGGCACCCCTCATGCAGATCGGCGGGGTCAGGGTACAAAAACTCATGGGATTTGCCACATTTCTGAAATTCGGCGGCTCCCCTCACGCAGATCGCCAGGGTCAGGGTCGAGAAACACATGGGATTTGCCACATTTCTGAAATTTGGCGGCACCCCTCATGCAGATCGGCGGGGTCAGGGTACAAAAACTCATGGGATTTGCCACATTTCTGAAATTCGGCGGCTCCCCTCACGCAGATCGCCAGGGTCAGGGTCGAGAAACACATGGGATTTGCCACATGTCTTGACATTCGGCGACCCCCCTCACGCAGATCGGCGGGGTCAGGGTCGAAAAACACAATGGATTTGCCACACTTCTGAAATTCGATGGCACTCCTCATGCAGATCGGCGGGGTCAGGGTCGAAAAACACATGGGATTTGCCACATGTCTTGAAATCCCCCCACCCAGATCGGTGGGGTCAGGGTCAAAAAACACATGGAATTTGCAACATTTCGATACTTCGTAGACAAGCTTTTTGCACAGCATGCGCGAGCAAGCTCGAAATGCAACACCGAATGCAACTATATCATCAGACTCTCAATTTGTCTTGCCGATTACTCATCGTCTTCGCGTCAAGTCCCGACGCTGCTTCACGGCGGCGCGAAGGCCTCATGATGTCGCTCTTGCATTGCCCATTATCCGAGAGAGTGGGCCGGCGGCAGGGGGCGAAGCCCTTACGGATAACAACTGCTATGCGATGTTTTCGAAGCATGGCGCCCAGCGTTGAGACCATTTCAGACACAGCTCAAGCCAAAGTTAAACGACTCGTGGACATGTTTAAGGGCTGGTTTGCAGAGCTCAGGCTAGTTCAAGCCAAGTCCAGGCCAACTCAAATCACTCCGAACCAAATCAGGACAGGCTCGAACTGCTGTAGCCCATCATAGACCATCGGAGACTTACAAGAACTAGATCACATTAGGATTCCGAGGGGCCTGACGAGAGGATGCGTAAGCGAAGGTAGTGATGCAGTTGGAGGATAGGTGCATGAAGGCTCCAACTGCAGGCCGATGCAATCTAAATTCTGAACGGTTTCAACGTGATCCCTCCAATGCAAATCTGTTAAACGATTTCACTTGACACCGTGAGGCATCGCAGTCACCCGCGTGACATTCGGACTAGGCTCGATTTGGCCTCGGGTTTGATCTCGATCCGATGCTCTGCATGATACCGTATCCGAATGTTCCCGGGGAGGCCTCTGGGAACATCCAGAAAGCAAAGCGAGCGCGTTCAATTATTTTGCCTGCTAAGGAATTCTGCAACGAGGAGGAACAGTAGCGAGCTCGCCCCTGCAATGTATGCAGATGCAGTGAAGAGCACAATCTCTCTGCCCCTCTAGCGTCCGATAGCGGGTGGGCCGCCACGCCAAAAACAACGGACAGGCCGGCACACCGCAAATGATTCGTTCGACTACACGCAAGAGTGACCCTGGGCAAGAGTGACCTTTGGTGCGCGGCTTTTTGGGGGGCGCGAGGGGGCCAAACCCAGGTGCGCAAGAGGCCACTATTGCATCGCGCTCGGGGATCGGGGGACCCCATTGGGCCCGCACTAGAGGTCACTCTGGCGAAAGGTCACTCCTACGCCTAGTCGATTCGTTCTGTCTTGAGTCCAGAATTTACATATGCCCCCTTTCTCGACGTTCTCGGGTCAACCTCGTCCCCATGCCCCACCCTCTGCCGTCGGGCTCGAGGCGTCTGGCCCCCAAAGCTGGGGCTCGAGGGGTCTGAGCTCAAAGTGCGGTGCTCCTTGTTTGGTTGTTTGGCGAAAGCATGCGTGCAGGCCGACGTTTGTCAGCGGGGCCCTTTACTTTCCCGACAAGGCGTGGTGAGACGATGGCCCCGCGTAGTGCTTCGCTGTCGCGGGGCATGGGGGGGGCACGGTGCGGCAGTTGTTTTTGTCAGGGTTGCTGCATCTCGGCGCCCAGCGGAGAATAAGTGAGGATGTGAAGAGGACGGGGAGGTGAAGAGCAGGTGGAGGAGAAACAGATGGGAAGGGGAGAGTCAGAGGGAAGTGGGTGGGACGAGGAGGCTCCGCTGACCTTGTACCCCTCCTCCTGCTCCTCCTCCTCCTCCTCTTCCTTCCCGTCCTCCTCCCTGGCGTGCTCTCCTCCCCACACACCCCTGCCTTCTCGACCTGACCCCGAGGAGATTCAGGACGGCTCAGGCTGGCGCGGGCGACTAGGCTCCGCCGATTCCTGCGAGCGGCGCGAATGCTGACGGTTGGACGGCAGGTCACCGCGGCCTCCCGCAGCAGATCCTGCAGCTTGCTGGAACAATACAATAAATTCCGTCGTCGGCGTCGACGGTTGAGGATCGATGGTAGAGGCTTCTGTCTTGTTACTCCCCTGTCCTAAGGATGGGGTTCTTGTTGCTACGTTGACCGCGCGGAGAACGAGAACACACCTCCCACCCTCAGGTCATCATTCTCGGACCCACTCACACGTAGACTCACTCACATTCAGACTCATTCAGACTCAGATGCAGTCACTCTTAGATTCCTGATACTCAGGTTTCTCATGCTCGGGATCACTCAGATGCAGACTCACTCGCACTAAGACTCATTCATACTCTGCCTCGCCCATCCTCACACAGACTCAGCCACACCATTCCCGCGCTCAGACTCAAACGCACGTTGTGAAGATGTTTCACACCGAGACTCACTCACACTCAGACTCACTCACACTAAGACTCACCCATACTCTGAACCGCTCTTCCTCACTTAGAGTCAGTCACACCACTTTCGCGCTCACTCACACACACACGTTGTGAGGATGTCTCGGGCGAGGCGCTGGTTTCAGCACTCCCAAGGAGGGGCGGCATGGGTCAGGACACTCCAGGATTCGCCCCCAGATTGTGGGGGTGTCTCAGGCGGTTTGCCTATTTCGGTGCCCAACATCTCTTGCTTTCGAAGCCGTTTCTGAGATCTCTTGCTTTCGAAGCCGTTTCCGAGGATGTCTCAGGCGAGGCGCTGGTTTCAGCACTCCCAAGGAGGGGCGGCAGGGGTCAGGACACTCCAGGAATTGAGCATACATTGTGGGGATGTCTCAGGCGGTTTGCCTGTTTGGGTGCCCACCTAAGGCCCCAGTGGCGGTGGCGGTGTCCGCATGCGCCCCCCCCACCCAGGACAAAGGTTCGTGGCCCCCTCGGGAGCTCCACCTAAGGCCCCAATGGTGCTGTTCGCATGCGTCTCTGAGGGGGAGAGGGAGGGAGAGGAAGAGGAGGCGTAGGTCCTCCTCATCCTCCTCTCCTCAATCCCCCCCTCCCTCCTCCCTCTTGCCTCATCCCTCCCTCCTCCTTCCTTCTCTCTCTTCTTCCTCCTCCTCCTCCTCCTCCTCCTCCTCCTCCTCCTCCTCCTCCTCCTCCTCCTCTCCTCCTCCTCACTCTCCTCCCTCCTCCCTCATCCCTCCTTCTTCCTTCCTCCTTCCTCTTCTCCTCTCTCCTCCCTCGTCCTCCTTGAGGGGATGGAAATTGCATAATCCGAAGAGGCCATGCTACTGATTTCAGACCATCATCGCGATGGTAATTTTCGAGGACACCACACGCGGCACTGTGGATGATGTGCAGATGACATGTGGCAATTTGTTGTTAGCGTGTTCGTTGCAGGACCAGGAGGAGAAGGTGGGGGAAGAGGAAGGAATAGGAGGAGGAGGACGCGTGTGGAAAGAGTAAAAAGGTTCTCGCCGCCGAACGGGCAACTCGGTTGGCCGAGGCCAGTGGATCGAGGTTCGAGGCTCCTGACTCGAGTTTCGCTGTTCTATGTTTTCCCATGTTTTTACATTGTTCGAATTTCCTTGGCATACCTTGTTCGAGTTTCCTTGGCATTCTCGTCTTCACGGATGGATTCCTCTGACAGGTGTCCAGAGGAAAAGAATGAGAAAGAGGAGGAGGACAAGGATGAGGAGGAGGAAAGGAGGAAACGCCTAGTTGAAGACGTCGTAGTCGTCGGCGTCTCTCTCGGCCTCGTCTTCCACATGTGTTCGCGGCCACACAGATACTGGAGAGTACAATGTCTTCTGCCGAAGCATGTCATCCCTATGAGATGCACAGGTAGGGATC